TTCAGAGTTGTCAGGAAGTGGAATAGCCTAGAAAGTGACGTAGCGGAGACAGGAGCCATACATAGTTTTAAGACGTGGTATGATAAAGCTCATGGAGCAGGGATAGAGAGGGCACAGTAGCGACCAGTGAAGAGGCGGGGCCAGGAGCCGCAACCACAATTAGGCGAGTACAATTAGATGAATTAAATGAGTACTATTAACACAGGAGGGACACAGGAAGTATCTTACTGTTAACACAGGAGGTAGCTTACTGTTAACACAGGAGGTAGCTTTGTATGCCCAGCTGGGTTCATATTTTGCGCCATGCTGGTGCTGCCACCTATAGGCCTACCTATCTCAGCCAGCACCATGCTTCCCTGCCCTCAGTCAGGCAGCCGAACTCACTCAGTTAAGGTCCATACCGTCATTCTCTCCTGGGCATAGCCCTAATGAGCCTGGGCACTTAAACACATTGTCTGTGTACCACTAACCACAAAGTAACGTAACCTCCGAAGAGTTTCATTTCCGCTTCCAGAAAACACACATAATTTTCGACGATAAACGGGGAAGTGGTGGTCGCAGCAAGTGTGTTGCCCGGAGAGAGGAAGGAAGCACGAAGATGTCACTCTTTCATCGCCCCATACAAGAAGCATCCGCCTCTCTACGAGTTGTCCTGAAGTCGTGTCTGCAAGTTTCATCATTCAGACACAGGATCAACAGGATCCTGGCCGAAATTTGCTGAAATTTCCTCGAGAAATCTTCGTGGCGTTACCCTAGGTCTTCACAGCGTCCCACGCTGTTCTTCAGTCAGTGTTCAGCATCACCAGTATGTTTCTGCTGTTGTTCAGTTCAGCATGGCTATTTCAGCAAGTCAAAGGTGAGTTGTGTGGTGCTCTGCTTCCAGTGTGGTTGTTTCTCCACATGTGTGTGGTAGGGGAGGAAGAAGCGGCCAGATCCTCCATCGTCATAAACCACACAGGCTCATCTCACACCACCATACACCACTACACTCTCTCACCTTCTCTCCTGTTTTTCTAGGAATTCAGTGTGAATTCTTCGCCAGAGCTGTTTATTCGAGTACGCGAGGTCACTCGAAGCCACATGGATCACAAAGCTATGTGTGGATAAGGCCATGTGGATCTACAAGCCATGTGGAGTGAGCCACGGGAGTTACCAAAACCACATGCTGTTGTCTGCTGCCTGGCATCACCCATGACGTCACCATGCTGCCCATATCACTCCCCTCACATCACGATGCTGCCCGACGTCACCTCGCGACGTCAGCCACGATGCTGCCCGACGTCATCGAATGTCACCCTGGACATCTGCCTGATGTCACCCTGTTGCAACCCCTGAATGGGTTACAATGATTATTATGTATATATAATGTATATTACCTTTTCATTTAATTTTATATTGCTTATATTTGCGATAATAGCTAAATCGTAAATGTATGACTTTATATTATTATTTGACTGTTATATTGTTATTTAGCTTATGTTGTTAGGATGTACATAATATGTGCTCAGTTAGTCTTGATTGTCAAACTACTGTAATTATCGCTTGTCGCTCGTTATACTGCCGGCTTCTGAGCTGCAGTTGTCCACGTAGCTATCACGTGATCGAGGGGGGGGGGTGTCCTCACCTCTCGTGAAGTATTCAGTCTGCTGTAGACTCGCTTGCTGGTTGGACAGATTGTCTGTCTCATTATTCTTGTTAGTTCTGTAGAACTTTGTTCACAGAACATTGTATAGACTTAGTGATTTTCGACGTTGTACTGAGGTTGTGTGTCACATTGACACTCTGAACATCTCAGGTCCTTAGCTATAGCTTCTGACCTAATTTTGTACTGGTTTCTGTGCATTGTCACAGTCGGGTTTTCCTATGCTGAACATAGATTCAGTAGTATGGAGTTTTGTAACTTTTGTGGAGGATCTGCAGATGGTCCCTACTTAGTGTCGTTATATTATCTCCTTGTTCCTGATTCTGTGTCGCAGTCGCTTGATATTGCATTGCTATTGGGCTTAGCATTCTTTGTTGTTCAAGCAGACTGTTCGGGTTGCCAGTCGGTCAAGAAGTTAGTTTATTTGAGGACTTTGTCAGTCACTTGTTTAAGTCTTATTCGAGTCTTGAGACATAGCTAACTACTTAAGAGCACTTACACGCATACACACACTTGTACATATTTGTAATATCTTATTAAATGTTAATGTACCTGACGGTACTTAAGAATTATAAATGTGATATGTGCTTTCAGCACAATAATATTGAACTCGAGAGATTGATTTTATTTTGATTGCTGTAATTAATTTAATTTGATAATATACCTCTAGACAACTTACTACTTAATAAATTTATTAAATTTTAATTTCTCTAGTTAGTAGCCTACCAGTTGTAATCCTAAAGCACTATTGAACCATACTAAATTTTAATGGATAATTGGACAAGGATACTGACTACTTGTTACGAAAACCCAGTAACAGGCTGGATGCTAGAAGGGCAGTCCTTTCTAGTATTCACTGGAGATCTCTAAGCTTTTAGAATCGCGTTTTTTGTAACACACCCCACGATGTCACCCATCCCTCAACGTCACGCCTGACATCACTATATGATGTCACATCGACAGTGTTATAGTTTGACAGAGAGCAATTTGTTGCAGTATTATTGAGAACGATTGAGAGAAGATATGTCACTCGTTAATTCCTCTCAATGTTCTCATACGTTCGTGATAGCCTTAATGTCGATTTTTGAATAGAAAAAACATCTTTTGCTAGTGTAATCCATGTCATAACCGCATGTGCAGTGCGGGTGTGTGAAAGTTATGTGAGTCCTGATGTGTGGTCTCTGAGCCCAGATGTGTGTGTAGACCAGTGTGATCTTAGCTCAGACCATTGGTAACACTCTCGTGTTACATGTTACCCATTGTGACCATTGACAGCTGACTTTAGTCAGTCCAGGCATCAGTTTACGAGCATCTGAGCCTCCACGTACAGAAAGGTCTTATGCTCGCCGTTTGTAGATGCCATGCCCGAGTCGTACCTATAACGATTCCCTATTGAGACTTATTTCACTCCACTTCTTGACTGTCAGAGGGCAGTTATGTGTAGAAAATCAGTCTGAGAATGCTTAGACAAACGCTGTCGAGAGGATGACACCATTAAGCCGCTGTAGCCCTATCGGCAGGCGACTGACTCGTTTCAAAAATTCAGTGAGCAGCCTGCACAAAGTATGATGTCACTGACTGCTAGCCCACTCACTCCAGTTACGGTGTATGTTGCTACGACTCCCAGATGTTTTGCCTGAGTCTGCCACAACCCACTCCACACTCGCCATCAGTGACAGCCCCAGTGATAGCACCAGTTGAGAAATGTCCTCCTGAGTCGCTTGCTGGAAGAAGTCCTGCCCAGTTGCCGAGTACTGATGACGCCTCACTCGAGGGCACCAGCAGGTTGTGCCCCAGGTTAAGTGAACCCTGCAGCTACTATTCCACGATGACTGCTTCACTGTTCCAGAGAAGACCGTGCCCAGTTACGTCACAGCTCAGCTGCAGCAATATCTCCTGTGTTGCAGTATCTGTCCAGATGCAGGAAGGCGTGCAGTGACGCCCGCCGAAGGACCACGATGTTAAGGACCACGATGTTAAGCACACCCCGTCCTTTTTTTCTTCCCTCCCTGTAGGAAGTTTTTTTTTTTGCCCATGTCCACATGTATATGTTTTCATTGTGTTCTGTGTCCTGTTCCTGAGAGAGAGAAAGAGAGAGAGAGAGAGAGAGAGAGAGAGAGAGAGAGAGACAAGAGTTTTTTTTTAGTCAGTCATGGTCGAGGATGACCATGGGTAGGTGGCCGAGCGATGTATGCCCAGTTGTGTTCCTATTTCGCACCATGCTGGTGCTGCCACCTACAGGCCTACCTATCTCAGTCAGCACCACGCTTCCCTGCCCTTATTCAGGCAGCACAGCTCACTCAGTCAACAAGGTCTACTCTGTCACTCTCTCCAGGGCATGGCCCACGGGGCCAGGGCACTTCAACAGTGTGTACTAAGAACCAAAATAAAGTAATGTAGCCTCCGAAGAGTATCATTAATTCCCGCTTAGATCAACATGCAATTCTCTCGACGATAGCTTAGTTTACTCTTAACACAACTGTTAACACACAAGGTAAATGATAACACAAGAGGGTCACATGACAGCTTAAACTGCAATCTTAACACCAGGAGACAGAGATGGTTAATAAGATAACATTATTAACCTGGGAGGAAGGTTAGTAACTCAGGATAATTTAGTACTGTGCATCATCGGAGAGGCTGTGTATGTCTTATTTTCATTGTGATCTACCAATCATCTCCCTCAGGATGCAACCCACAACACTCCTCACACTGCTAGGTGAGCAGGGGAAGCAACAGGTGTAAGGAAACACGAACAACGCTTCACCCCTGCTTCAGTGCGAGAGCTGAGGATGCTACCCACCGAGCCACGAGCTCACTGGGTAGAAAAAAACAGTAGACGATCCCTTGTAGCACTAATGGCTATAATCATAACCATAATTTTTAAAGGGGTGGCTCGGTAAGCCAGCGGAAGGCCTCGGTCAGATGACCACAAGCTCTAGTAGCGGGTCATCATATGACTTAAGACCCATGTCATCAAACACTTGTCCTGTTTCCTGACAAACTTTACCTAACCTGACGCACGTATTTAATAATAATATCTGTTTCTACAAGGACATGTACAAGGTATACAGGCCTAGCTGACATCAGTGACATACTACTATATAGAAAGCCACTGGTTATGTGAAACATTTCTGGAAAATTAGGTCAGTTTATCCCAGGATGCGACTCTCACCAGTCGACTAACACCCAGATACCTATTTTACTGCTAAGGTGAACAGGTACAGCGGGTACATTATAAAAACACGTCCTAATGTTTTCCAGCCTTACCGGGACTCGAACCCCGGACCTCAGCGTGTGAGCTGAGTGCGCTATCAATCGAGCTACTGGACACCTAATTTCATTCCAGGCTACTTACCCACCACGGTGAGGTTGACGAAGTTCGAGAGTGCCGGAGAGTTGTAGAAGTCGACCCTGCACTCGTAGAGGCCGGCGTGGCTAGGGGTGACATTGTGGTAGGTGAGGGTGGCTGCTCCCCTGCTCACGGTCATCACCCCCTCCCCCTCACGCACCTCCCCCTCCAACTGGGGTGGTGACCTCGTGTCATGGCTGCGGAAGTCACAGAAGAGAAAGAGGAACGTTATTTTTCTTCCTACAGAACTTGAAGCTTCCAGTGTACACACTGACATGACTGATGGAGACAGTGTACACACTGACATGACTGATGGAGACAGTGTACACACTGACATGACTGATGGAGACAGTGTACACACTGACATGATGATGGAGACAGTGTACACACTGACATGACTGATGGAGACAGTGTACACACTGACATGACTGATGGAGACAGTGTACACACTGACATGACTGATGGAGACAGTGTACACACTGACATGACTGATGGAGACAGTGTACACACTGACATGACTGATGGAGACAGTGTACACACTGACATGACTGATGGAGACAGTGTACACACTGACATGACTGATGGAGACAGTGTACACACTGACATGACTGATGGAGACAGTGTACACACTGACATGAGTGATGGAGACAGTGTACACACTGACATGACTGATGGAGACAAGGTACAAACTGATATTTGTATGAACAAGACAGCACGACAATATGCAAAGTATTAAGAAGAAAAAACCATCCTAAGATAAACATCCTAGAAATAAACATCCTAGAAGAGAAAAACTGCTACACTACGACTTGATCTGAGAGGAACAGTATGGTGATACACAACACATTTGGAGAAGGAAACTTGAACATTTCAGCAATAACGGAAGTCTCGCCACGAGTGACACAGCCGATGCAAAATACCTTTAATAAATGGAAAGTTAAACACATGCCTGCAACATCGATATCTTAAGAGATTCCATCCAGTGGATTTATCAATACAGATCTAGACATAATAGAACAGTAAACATATAAAAGATGAGTAATCAGTCCCTCGGCCTTGGAGTTAGTGTTCACAGCATCGTGTGAAATCTGAGCAAAGGCAAGAAACGGCGTTATATAAGCTCAGTGGAAGGACGGACAGCGAGGCATCACTGTAGGGACCAGGGAAGTAGGCCTTCCCAAAGAGATGGTATTGCAGCAGCCGTGAAGAAGGTCTTGTAATTCCTTGACAGATTCCATGAGTTGCAGTGATGACAAGTTGTGCTGAAGTGTACATAAATGGGCGTTTCCATAGACATTTTTTTAGCCATAAATAAATTTTGACACAAAAGTTTATAAAGTATCACTAAAGTCTTGTGAGTGAAGCCATTCTGAGAAAAAATAAAATTAAGCTTAGTGTTAGAAATGTAACTGGAGGGAAGGAGGGAAGAAGGGAGGGAAGGAAGGGAAGGAGCGAAAGGAAGGAAAGGAGGGAAGAAAGATGGAAGAAAGTTTTGACTAGCACTCTGTCCTGGCCTTCGTTCAGCATATAAAGGGCAGGTAAAAGGACACAAGTGCAACTAATATGACATTTTATTGTGGCAACGTTTCGCTCTCCAGGAGCTTTGTCACATACTTCAGTGTTCCTCTGTTATGTTACGTAGTATCAGCAGCAACAGCTGTGATGGCAGGATTTATTGTTTTGAGGAGGATTCTTGCTAATATTTCAGAGATGACAAAGCTGTTTTTATTTTGCTTGTGTTAGAAACAGCGATTAATGACGATTCAAGGCATTTACGTCTGCGGAAATTAGGTTTTTTGATCACCAGTCGGGCGTGACTGAATTTCACGAGGTGATTGGCGGAATTTTGTTGTTGTACGCAGGCGTTGTTCAAGTTATCATTCCTACATGCATTGTGTTCATAGAGACGTGATTCGAGGTTCCATGCTGCTCCACCTACATATATTGTCAGCCTCCACAAGGTATAGTGTAAACCCCTGCATTGACTGGTTCATGGTGCTTCGATTTTGTCCTGGTTAGATCCCTTATGGAAGTGTTGGATGCGATGGCGACTCTAGTGTTAGTTTAAGCGAGTACCATAAAAATGTTCAATGCAACCTGGTTGTTGGGAAGGATTATAACTTAATTAGGAGTGGTGTTGGTGCGTGGAGAATTAATGATCTAAAGAGCTCTTTTCTTGCAGTCTTTGATGAAAAACGAAAGAAAATGTAGATCAATGAAGGTCTGGTGTATCCATGTACATTCCTCGTCAAGAAATTCAAGACTACAATTTCGGTATTATGCTCTTAGGAAAAATCAGATGATGATGCCTCTTTTGGTCTTAGTATCTTGACTGGAATAGAAGTGTGCGAGGCTACTTTTGTTTGTAGGTTTAAGGCAAACTTGAAATCTTAGATTATCTACTTTGTGAATAAAGACATCTAGAAAAAGTAGCTTCTCGTTGGACTTCTAGTGTAAACATGATAGCCGGTTCAGCTGCGTTGAGCCTTGTATGAAGATTCTGTATATCAAAACGTTAGGGAGTTATTACGAGGACGTCGTCCACATAATGTAACCAAGTGACGCTGGTGTGGATGATGGTGAAGTGTTCAGCTCCAGATGTTCCAAATACAAGTTGGTTAAGACGGCGCTGATGGGGGACCCCATTCCCATGCCGTAGGTTTGTAGAGCTTGTTATTAAAAGAAAAACAGTTGATATTAAGATCTTAAGTCAACAAAATCTTAGGGAGATAGAGGAAGATTAAGGTCCTGACTGACTACGTCGTAGAACCTCGATGGTTTGTATGGTAGGTACTTTAGGGAAGAGGGTAGTTACGTCCAAACTAGTTTCTTCTTTCGGATGGAGAGGTTTCTGATGCGGTTGAGAAGGTCGCCTGAATGAATGCTTGAGATGAACGGGGCTGATGGTCCCCAGGAGACACACAAACTGTAATACCGAAGATACTCAGCATCTCTCTCACTTAGTCTATCAGTTATATCATCTTGCAATCTATTTTTTTTTAAATTTCTCCAGAGATATATTTAACTTCACGCACGTCATTATAAACAGCAATCTATCAGCTAATTTTCAGAGTATCTCTTCTGTTCTTCCTCAAACTCGATTTCTTCTTTAAATTGCTACTTTAGTCATCGAGTTTACCACGCTCCTGAAGGGTGTTTCGGGGGTCAACGCCCCCTCGGCCCGGTCCATGAAAAGGCCTCACCTATGTAAGAGAAAATCCACGAAGGTTTAACGCCTTCATCATTAAATTGTACGTATCTGTGCCTGGCCTCGTAAGCAAGTTACATTCAGATCTCAGTTTAATTAGAGAAGGCAATGAAGGCAGTCAGAGAGAATTAATCAGGCCGAGTTTAATATGAAGGCTTAATTACCTGTGTGCTAAACACTAATGACCTGTTTGTATATACATTAATTATACGCATGACATAACACTTGCAAGTTATGGATTTATAGCTTTTAACACACCAGGTGGCAGGGTGATGAAAACTGACACGGCAAAATGTTGACACAATTGCTCGACTCAACTGACTCGATAATGGGGATGTGTAGACGAGAGTGGGGACAGGTGTTGTAGACGAGAGTGGGGACAGGTGTTGTAGACGAGAGTGGGGACAGGTGTTGTAGACGAGAGTGGGGACAGGTGGTGTAGACGAGAGTGGGGACAGTTGTAGACGAGAGTGGGGACAGTTGTAGACGAGAGTGGGGACAGTTGTAGACGAGAGTGGGGACAGGTGGTGTAGACGAGAGTGGGGACAGTTGTAGACGAGAGTGGGGACAGGTGTTGTAGACGAGAGTGGGGACAGGTGGTGTAAGACGAGAGTGGGGACAGGTAGGTGAGACATGAGAGATGGGGACAGTTGTAGACGAGAGTGGGGACAGTTTGTAGACGAGAGTGGGGACAGTTGTAGACGAGAGTGGGACAGTTGTAGACGAGAGTGGGACAGGTGTTGTAGACGAGTGTGTGGACAGGTGTCTGTAGACGAGAGTGGGGACAGGTGTTGTAGACGAGTGGGACAGGTGCTGTGACGAGTGGGAACAGGTGCTGTAGACGAGAGTGGGGACAGGTGCTGTAGACGAGAGTGGGGACAGGTGCTGTAGACGAGATTGTGAACAGGTGCTGTAGACGAGAGTGGGGACAGGTGCTGTAGACGAGAGTGGGGACAGGTGCTGTAGACAGAGTGGGACAGGTGCTGTAGACGAGAGTGGGGACAGGTGCTGTAGACGAGAGTGGGGACAGGTGCTGTAGACGAGAGTGGGGACAGGTGCTGTAGACGAGAGTGGGGACAGGGTGCTGTAGACGAGAGTGGGGACAGGTGCTGTAGACGAGAGTGGGGACAGTGCTGTAGACGAGAGTGGGGACAGGTGCTGTAGACGAGAGTGGGGACAGGTGCTGTAGACGAGAGTGGGGACAGGTGCTGTAGACGAGAGTGGGGACAGGTGCTGTAGACGAGAGTGGGGACAGGTGCTGTAGACGAGAGTGGGGACAGGTGCTGTAGACAAGTGGACAGGTGAGCGAGTGGGATATAATGAGGTAAGTGGATGTGTGTAGAGGACAGTTGGGATGGGTAATATAAATTGGGATGTGTAAAGAATAAGATAAATGACAATAAGCAGAGAAGTGCTGATGGGTAAAAATGAGTGAATGGGTAGATAAGTGTAGAATGGTAGAGGTAAGTGGGAACTGATAAAGATAATTGTGGTAAGTGTAAAATGGGTAGAGGTAAGTGGGGATGAGTTACGGTAAGTGAGGATGAGTTACTGTAAGTGGGGATGAGTTACGGTAAGTGGGATGAGTTACGGTAAGTGGGGATAGTTACGTAAGTGGGGATGAGTTACGGTAAGTGGGGATGAGTTACGGTAAGTGGGGATGAGTTACGGTAAGTGGGGATGAGTTACGGTAAGTGGGGATGAGTTACTGTAAGTGGGGATGAGTTACGGTAAGTGGGGATGAGTTACGGTAAGTGGGGATGAGTTACGGTAAGTGGGGATGAGTTACGTAAGTGGGGATGAGTTACGGTAAGTGGGGATGAGTTACGTAAGTGGGGATGAGTTACGGTAAGTGGGATGAGTTACGTAAGTGGGGATGAGTTACGGTAAGTGGGGATGAGTTACGGTAAGTGGGGATGAGTTACGGTAAGTGGGGATGAGTTACGTAAGTGGGGATGAGTTACGTAAGTGGGGATGAGTTACGGTAAG